CGTCCGACCGTGCCCGACCCCCGTCCGACTACGGATCGCCGACGACGGCCCGACCGCTCCGCAGCCGATTACCGACCGCTGCCCGACGGTTTGGTGTTCCGACCGCTGCCCGACCGCCGTCATTCCCGCTGCGCCCCTGCTGGCTGGCCTCGCCGCTGCTGCCGCCGTCGGGCTTGCCCTGGCCGCCGTCGACCCCCTGCAGCGTGGAGAGCTTGGGCCCCTGCACCCTGGAGGCCCGCAGGTCGCCGCTGCCGTCCTGGACCCCCTGCCGCTTGGAGGCCCGGTCGCCGCTGCCGTCGGCGTGGGCCGCCTGCCGCTTGGAGGCCCGGTCGCCGCTGCCGTCGATCTCCCCCGTGGAGGTCGCGCCGTTGCCGCCGTCGGGGCCCGCGACCTTCTGCCGCTTGCTGCCGTCGTCGAGGCCCTTGCCGCCGTCGATGCCATGGTCTCTCTGCCGCCTGCTGGCCGTGATGTCGCTGTTCGCCGATGCTGCCAGCGCGGGCGCTGCTTCATATGCCACAATAAGACCGACCGCCACCTTGGACCCCAGCGGATCATCCTTGCGTGTGGCCCAGTGGCCTCGCGTCTCCTCAACCTCCATGCCCTTCTCCTCCGCGCTCTTCCTAGACGCTTCGATCGCCTGAGCTATCATGCGAGCCTCTTCCTCTGCGATGCGGTTCTGCTCCGCGTGGTTCTCCTTCGATTTCTTGCTCGCCTCCTGGAGTTCAGCCTTTTCCCGAGCCTCTGGAGCAGCATCTTTGCCCCGAGCCTCTGGAGCAGCATCCTTACCCCGGGCCCCCGCATCTACAGATGTGTCATCCAAGCCGTTCTCGACGTCGATCGGGCTGAAGCCGTCGGTATCTTTCGCGGGCGCGGGGTCCTCGGTCGGTTGGCCTTGCTGTTCGAAGTACTCCCTGTCACGCCGAATCGCATTCTCGATTTCGGCCGCGCCTGGGCACCGATCTCCTGCCAACAGCTCTCGCAAGTTAGGCCCAGCTGGGGGTTCTGGTACAGTTTGAGTCATATCCTTCACCTGCCATACGTGGTAAACGCGGTGTGTTGGTACAGCGCGGTCGGTGAGCTGAACCAAGCGCGTGGCGTCAGCCACGCGTGTACGAGCCAAAGTGGCTACAGAGGGTCGAGGAGGTGCTGGAGGATGGATGTTCTTGCGGGTCTTTGGAAACCCAAACCCATGGTGTTCGGGACCGGTCGAACCCCCCTATGTGCATCTCTTCTACTGTGGATTGCGAACCCCACGTGTCCACGTTTGCATATTCGTGGTTCGTCTGATGTATTATTGTATTACGTTTCGCTTTGAGGGGGATCCGTCTGTTAAAATTGCGTTATACATTCACCCCATATGCCCATCTTGTCACACAGTCGTCTCGAGTTTGGTTTTACTTTCATTTCGCAGCTCCCCATATGTGCATCTCATAGATCAGTTTACTTACCTGCAGCCCATATGTGCATCTCTCCCCAGGTGCATCTCATCTTCTTTAGGACAAACCTGGTTCATACGGGCGTGATCTGAACTTCCGTCGACATGACAAGCGCCAGCTATAGCTATGCATTACGCGCGGTGCTTGCACAGCGTCGCAAGCAAAAAATAAGAGGTGTGCGAAGTTCAGAAGCCGTCGAGCATTGACCCTGGAATATCCTCGGGCTCGTACTTATCCCTCGGCGGGCTCTGGAAGACAATCGCTCTCTTCGAGGCCTTCGGGGGCTCCTGATCTGCCGGAGTATCTTCTGTAGGACGCTTCATTGCCGCCACCGCGGCGCCTGCCGCCGTCGCCTCTGCCGCTGCCGCAGCTGCGGGGCTAGGCTGCACATCCGCTGCCGATGGGCGCTTCTTCACGGGTGCCTGAATCTCCTCTGCCGCCGCCGCTGGCACGACATCCGTTGCCGATGGGCGCTTCACCATGGGAGGCTCACTCGCTGGTGCTGCCGTTGCCTGCTCCTCCTCCTCCTCCTCCTCAACCTCCTCATCGAACTCGCGGGGCTCCTCCTCGCCTCCTCCCTCCTCATTCGCTTCCTCGCCGTCCTCAGCTTCAGCAGGAGCTGGCGCATCTTCCTTCTCTCCCTCCTCAGCCTCTGCCTCCTCTGCCTCCGCGAGGTCAGCTGCCGATGGTCTCTTTAGTGCCGCCGCGGGCCTTTTCAACGATGCTGCTTCTGCTGCCGCTGTTTTTTTTGGACGCGCTCTTCTTCTTCCCGTTGCCGTCTTTCAGCCACTGAGTTTCCAGCATCTCCATCTCGGGCTTATCAATCTCACCATTGACATATTTCTTGACCATGGGGGCCAGAAAGGCAACGGCGTCTTCCTCGTTCAAGTAGGGTCTCATCTGAAACAGCTGGCAGCGTTCCTGTAGGACCTGCAGCCACCTATCTCCTTGTTCGTTCGAGAATACAACTCTCACCATGTCTCCGTTTTGCATCGTGCCAGACCGCACTTCCTGCGACGCTGGTTTTCCTCCTCCAGGAACCTCTGCAGAAACTGTTCCTGGGGCCTACACGGACAACCTACCAACCCTGGTCCAGAATCCATGGGGATTTGCGGCGTCATCGAAATGGCCCCAGGAACCACCACGATCGGATCGTCGCAGGATTTTGCGGCAATGTTGGGCTTCTTTCGCGATCCTCCCATGGGCCACCACGGCCGGATCATCGCACGATCATCGCACAATCATCGCGATGATCCCGGCGATGATCCCGCGGTGGTCCATGGGGGAGTATTGGGCCAAAGACGCCGCAAACCAGTCAAATAGATTCGGGATGCAGGTTGCAAGGTTATTTTCCGATCACCTCCCATCTGAAGCCGTCGGCCCACTGCGCCAGCATTGGAGCGCCCTTCTCTTGGACGCGTGCCACTACCCACTCCACGTCGGTGCTGGTGGGCTTCGCGCGCCAGGCCGACTGGGAATAGTATTTGTTGTTTGCATGTCAATTCCTCCACCCCCACGTCCTCCTATCCCCCCACCTCCAACCCCATCATTCCATCCCCCCTAACTCCATCCACTTCCGATCGAGGGGCGATGGCAGGGGATGGCGAGTGGCAATTCGGTGCGCACGCACCCTGCATGTCGGACTGCCATCCAAGATCCCAGCCATCGATGTTTACCAGGGGGGTCATGCCGTGAGAAGGCGCTCTTTTCGAATTCATGCGTTTCGGTGATGCCACGCATGCCACCTCTGTTGAAGCCTCCTCGTTCTCCTCCCTCTCCTGAGGCTGGCTGTTGTCGAAGAAAATGCTGGCCCACTTCGGTATAGGTTCCCTCGGGGGCTGGCGGTCGCCCGACCGTTCGTCCGGTTGTCGGCCAGCCGTCGTCCGATCGGATGACGGTCGGACGATCGTTGGAGGACGGTCGGACGACGGTTGAGAATTGCGGGTCCTGGAGCAGAGTTTCGATACGTGTCGCAGCATCGCGCGGACCATCCGTGCCTGGCCGCGGGCCCATGGCTCTGTCTGTTGCGCAAGGTGCCATTCCAACTCCTTGGAGCCCGCGAGCTCCAAGAATGCAGCCTCTGGAGCGCAAGGAGGAGGTGTGCGCGCGCGGTGGTGGCGGTGGCGGTGGCGGTGGCGGCGGGGCGGGGCGGGGGGGGGGGGGGTAAGAGAAGGAAGAGGAGGAGGAGGAGTAAAAGAAGGAAGAGGAAGAGGAGGAGGAGGAGGAGGGAGGAGGAGGAGGAAACAGGAGGGACTTACAATGGACTGGTGGGAAAGGGTAGCAGCCTCCGCAACCGATTGGGCAACCCCTGTCGGAGGAACATGTCGCGTCTGCTTGATCATGTCACAGTGTTTCAACGGCAGCTCCTGGTCGTGCCCAGCATCCAGGTTCGTAGTGTACTCTAACCTTTTTGCACTCCTCCTCTTCCTCCTCCTGGCTCCTCCTCCGCCCCCCCCTGCGTTCGTCTCCTCCTCCTCCCCTCCCCCCCCCCCCCCCCCCCTCCGTGGAACGCATCAGAAGCGCTGCCGCGCCGCCAACAGGCCATGCGCGTCTGGCGCGCCTGCCTTCCGTGGCTTGACGGATCTAGCAATGGGCGGGGAAGTCATGTTAAGGAAAGCTCGGCCCAGAACAGCTGCGACCTCCCTCTCTCGTTTTCGACGAGTCTGCCCGCTGCCGACTTGCTACGTGCATGTAAAACCCAGCACCAACTCAATGGCCATATCCCAACGGAGAAGAAGGAACGGAAACGCCGTCGTCCACCGCGACACGAATTATTGCCCATGCCTGACGAAAGCCTGAAGCAAACCATGGAAAATCAGCGCCTCTCAACTTCCACCCCGCTCCCCCCCCGCTCCACCTCCTCATTATATGATGCGCTTGCTTTTTTCGTTGCCGCAGTCGCCTGCGAGCACGCCGATGCCCTGCGAGCACAATAGTTGGCCATGTCCGATAGCAAACAAATCTATGTATGCTATTTTTTGTTAATAAAACACGAAAAGATGGCGTGGGGCAATTCATCGTCCTGGAAGACATGATGGGGCAATTCGTTGCCCCGAAAGATTTCGTGGGGCAATTTATTGCCCCGAAGAATTTTGTGGGGCAATTTATTGTCCCACATGATGGGCTTGGTCATCCATCGTCAACATGAGCGATGGGAACAAAAAACTGCCCTTCAGGACCTCTGGGCAAGGGGGCGTTGGCACCCCGCGGCTCCCACCGCGCTGGCCGCGCGAGATGCTCGCGCGCGCGGCGCCGGCCCCGGGCGCCGGGGCCTTCGCCAGCCTGGCGGCGCGGACAGGGCCCCTGCCCAGGACTCCACAGGCGGAGTTGAGGGGGCCCCGTGCACCAGCTCCGCGCCCCGGCAACGAGATGGCAGGTGCTTCGAGCCGGCCCGCGTCATCGGGGCACAGCCGCATAGCCGCGTTGCGCCAGCAGCAGCGTGTGCTGCGGCGGCCGGCCGCCTCGCCTGCCCATCTGGCCTCGAGCGGGCCGCTGCGCCGCAAGGCCTCCCAGCGGGCCACGCGGGGCGTGACGCGGCGGGCCGCGGCCGCGCGGGCGCCGGGC